CATGTTCCTTTCCAAGGCCCTGAAGGAACTTTCATTCGTGGAGTAGGCCAGGATTTGTCCTTCCTCTTCCACTTTTCTGCTCAGGAGGATCCAGTTTTCCACTCCCAGTGCAGATTCTGCTTACTGAGGCGTGTCCTAACTGTAGCCTCCTCGTCTTTTTGGCCCGGAAAGAAGGCTAGGACTCTCGGTCTCTTCGGGAGTTCGTTGGCCTCGACCACGGTCAAGTCCGCCCCCTTCCAAAGATTACCCAAGTTTCCAATGCTTCCTCTGAGCCATTCTTTTATCCCTTCATTCGCATAGGTTATCCATAGGACCCCTGCGCCGAATGAAGTCTTTTTGAATTGGAGGTTTTTCTAGGCTACCAGAGGGAGTATTGTCCAATTCGCGGACAAGTCCCTCCTGGATCAGGTCTGCTTGACCCTGACTCAGGGTATCGCATGTCGGTGACCGCCACCCTAGCAGCCTCGCTATAGGTCTCAGTTTCTTTGGAAGCCCTGGGTTTTTTCAGTACCTTCTGTGGGGGAGTTTTTACATCTTCTCTAGGTCTCTTTTTGGTCCTTTCCACAGAAGTTACTTTGGGTTTTTCCGTTTTTCTGCGCTCTTTTGTGTTACATGGTTTTTCAATCTATGTTCCCGCAGCTACTTTCCTTGCTTTCATCAGTTTGCGACTTTTGTCAATCCTGCAGTTATGCTTTCGACGGGGCTGGTGTTTCCCGCAGTTTCACTATGACGTTCCTGGTCAGTTTGCACCTCCGGGATAGTCTGATTTTGCGAGGAGTCGTTCGAAGAGTCCTCCTCTGATATTTTAGTTTTTCTCGTATCCATTCAAGTCCCACGAGTATGGGGGAAAGGGTTGTCCACATCCATGGTGCCTCCTGTATGGATGTGAGGCTGGATACTTTGGGAGGTCGTCTGGTAACCTGGTAACTTTGGCACGGGTCGCATAACACCTTGGATTAGGCCTGGGTCCTTGGTCTGACTGTTCTGTTACGACCCTACCAGCAGCTAAGCTGCCGCCGACATAGCCCGTAACTTCCTCACAGTACACAAGCCTCCACGACAAGGTGAAGACCCCTCGGGAGGGAACTACACACTTTACTTTTATATATATTTTTTTAATAGATTTCATCCTTGTAACTCTAAACAAGTGTTCAAGGTTAGGTGACGTCATTCAAGGTCGTGTGACGTCTCAAGGTTAAAAGGGGTGGGGGGAGGCGTTCAGTCGGCATTAGCACCCTACTATTCGGAAACTTGTGGTTGCATGCCAAGGAATGGTTTGAAAACGTCGAATTATGTTTTCCCAGTCAAGGACCTTTCATGTTCAGCATACCTTTTTTGGAAATTTCGTCCGCATTGTCCCACATAAACACTATTACACTCCGGACACTTGAGCTTATAAACTCCTGATTTTTTCAACTTGTCGACCTTATCTTTGGCATTGAAAAGAAAATGAGATAACCTGGCATGTGGTCTGAATGCTACTTCCACATTGTTTTTTCTGACGAAACCTGCGATAATTTCTGTTCTTTTTCCAAAATATGTTAGCGTTACCCATCATGATCTCCTACCACATAGTAACGGCTACATCCATCAATTTATTTTAATGTATAAGTTTGAAAATATCCTTATAGAACGAAACTGCAGTAACGTTAGTTACAAATATAAGTGGTAAAAACATAGAAAGTTTCAATTCTCATTTTTTATGATGATTTCCTACCACGTAGTAACTCTACATCCATCAATTTATTCTTTCCAGATTATTGGAAAAACAGTTTTTTGAAACCTATTTATAAAAGTTGATAACATAATGACATTACAAATTATCGAGTACTTTACAATCAATCTAAATCACCCAAATTGTTGAATATTCTAATAACAAAAAACAATCATGGGATCGCAGACATATAATGATGAATCAGCAACATGGATTCAGTTGTGGTAGATCTGTATTATAGGTATTTTTTACTATTTGTCGTGTAGGATTAGCCTATGGAGGTATATGTATATTCATATGTTTGTACGATATTCCTATTTACAGTGGAAGCATTGATCTTTCTATTTAAATTGTACACTACTTCAATTCTTGTTCCGAAAGGTGGAACATTGACTTGCTACAAATGTATTGTATGGATATGTAACGTGGCCAAAAAAGTTCTATTCTGTTCTATTCTATCAGTACAAATTTTCTCATTTATTAACACTTATTAGTAAATGTCTTCGAAAGTAGACAAAAGGTTGATTCTTTTGCACATATTTTTCAAAGGCATTTGACCGAGTACCTAAATCACAATTTGTTGTTGCATAAACTAAACGCTTTGGGTATTCAGGAAAATATTCCGAAATGGATTAAAAATAATCTTGCCTGCACAGTCCAATATGTAAAATATGGTAACTCAATATTTTCCTCAGTCACAGTTCCATCTGGTGTACCGCAGGGTTCTCATTTAGGACTATTACTTTTCAACCTATTTGTACATGACTTGAATGATGTTATTCTCTATAGTGAATTTCTTCTGTTTGCTGACGATCTGAAGATGTTCAAAGTTATTCATAACTCGTCTGATACTGAATGATTACACGATCTCCATGAAAAAGGAGACATAAAACTTTCTATGTTGTTTATCACAAGTGGTAAAAAAACACAGAAATTTCAATTTCTCATTTTTCATGATAATCTTCAACCAGGTAGTAACGGCTACATCCATCAATTTACAGTATGATCTATCTAACTTTTTACGCTGGTGTGATATAAAGTTATTGCAATTGAATATGGACAAATGTCATAACTTTACTTTTTTCCAAAACAAAAATCCCATAAGTAGTCCATATAAAACAAGCAATGGGAACTGGAAACAACACATACAATCAAAGACTTTGGAATCACTCCTTACCCAAAAATGTCATTCAAACCCCATATTACGATTGTTACTTATCTCTCTCTTCCTTGAAAATCATATATTGCTCAATTATTACGAGGGTTGCTATTTATATTTCGAAAATCACTTTATTGTTTTTCAAAATATTCTTCATGAAGATCTATAAATTTTTGCATGTGTTTGAATCAATTGTCGAAGCACTTTCGCCACTCTGATTGATGTATCTCCAAAACATGCATTCTGAATGCAGCAACCGCTTCTTCAGGTGTCGAAAAACGTTGACCTCTCAGTTTGTTTTTTACGTGCGGGAATAAATTTCGAAGTACCGCGATCGTATTTTTTGAGCATTTCCTTCGACCAATCGACACGAGCCTTTTTTTGAGCGATTGACAAATTGCGTGGGATCCAACACGAACAAATTTTTTTGCAGTCAAATGTTTATGCAATATTGAATGAATGCTGATCCCATTAATGCCTTAGGTTGTCTCAATCTCACGATAGGTCACATGAACGTCTTGCAACATCAGTTCGCGCACAGCATCAATGGTTTTCGGAACAACAACTGATTTTGGACGACCTTCACGAAATTCGTCTTGGAGTGAACTACGACCGCGATTGAATTCACCATACCATCGATAAACACTGGTCTTTGATGGAGCTTTATCGCCAAAAATTGAATTAAGTTCATCCATGCACTGTTGCTGAGTAATTCCACGTCGAAAGTTGTAAAAAATAATCGCACGAAAATGTTCTGAGTACGTATAAGCTCAAAAATGTCCAACTTTACGATACAGCTGTCAGTTGCCAGATTGCAACACTAGGGTTGCCAAATCCGGAAACATAAAAGGCAACCCTCGTAGATCAATAATCGAATTTGGTGTCTGTAATATTCGTGTTAGAACAATTTATCGACATTGTAGAATTACTTTTCAATCTTTGTTTATTTAAACAATCTCTCAGTTAAATCAGAAAAGTGACAACTCACAGTCTACTTGACATACAATCATCTAAAACAACATATACAGGACGAAACATTACATTTCCTCCCTAACTTCAATTATATCACATTCATATAGAAGAATAATTTGTGTGTTTAGCTTTCCTATGTGGTTGTTGTTTTCTAGGAGGTTCATGAACTTCGGCTTCAACAATTTCTTGAACTGGTGTATCTTCTTCTGACTCTATTTCTTCATCTGGTTTCCTATAATCATGAAAATCTTCATCGTATTCAGATATAACATCCAATACAGGTTTCATGTGATCAGATTTTACAATATTTTTGAAGTGAGAAGCATTTCTTGTTATCTTTTTATCTAGCGTTGACGCGGTTCCTTTGTACCACTAAAACAATATATAGATTAGGATCATATGGTGGGGTGAATTTATTTACACGTTTTTGTTTGCAAATTACTAAACCTCCAACATTTAATTAATGTTTTTTAGTATGTAATCTTTCATCTGCATACTTTTTGAATTATTAACAATTTTTAAATTCAGTGTCATTGTTTTTCGAGTTTGAAAGCCGTAGATTTTTGGAATTTCTTCCTGACGTTTCGCTGGCGCGAGTGGCTAGCTTCTTCAGAGGTTTAACCCTCATGGCTTGCTGTCCGATGGTATAATATGATATTATATACGGGGTGTTCCATTTGAAAAATCAAAGAAGCCGCTACTTTATAGTAGAAGCGACAACGCCGCTTCGTCTAAAATATTTTAGGCGTGAAGGTCATATTGACTGTGGAATTTTCAGGTTGATCCGTTGAATAGTTTGCCAGAAACGGCTAATTAACCCTCATCATGAAAAGCCCTGTATAGTATACTATTAGGTATTGGTCCACTATCGTCATTTATTATATTATTATGTTTACTTATTTCTACATTCTCATAGGCATCTAGATGGCTGTTGTTAACAACAAAATTAATTTGAGGCAATTAAGACGCAGGTACCTAGCAGAGGTATCTGTGGTATAAATAAGGACAATATTGTATATAATTAAGTTTAATCTTCCTCTTGAAGATGATCACTTAGTGATTGAAACACGTGTCGAGATGTTAAAAATAACGGTTTGGTGTTGGGATTAAACTGCAGTAATATTCATATTTTAAAATATCACTGTTTTATTTCAGGGCTGCAATAGATGGTGCTGACTGCGTCAGTATGAAATATTTAGAATCTGCCAGAGATAAAGTTCTAATGGGTCCCGAGAGGAAATCCCGTATTCCTGATGAAGAAGCCAACCTAATAACTGCTTACCATGAAGGTGGTCACGCCATAGTAGCCTATTACACTAAAGATAGCCATCCTTTGCACAAAGTAACAATCATTCCAAGGGGGCCCAGTCTTGGTCACACAGCTTACATTCCTGAGAAGGAGAGATACCATGTCACAAAATCTCAGTTGTTGGCTATGATGGATACTATGATGGGAGGAAGAGCTGCGGAAGAGTTAATTTTTGGTCCCGAGAAAATAACATCTGGTATTTTGTTTTCATTGTGCTCGAATAATTACAGTCAACACTTATTTGCTGCATCAATTTTTTTAGAGGAGACTAATGTCATAACATTTTCACAAATTAATAATCGGTGCTCAAATTATAGATAGCAGGGTATCTACAACTCAAAACTCGCTTAAAATTATAAAAATGTCTTTCATAATTTAACATATTGGAAGATTTTGGTAATAAAGGTAAGGTTGAAATGTAAACCGTCAACAAGCAATAATGGTGTAACAATACCATACCTTGAAGTATACTATCACTCGAGTATGAAGCTCTCATAGTACCAATCAGTTGTCAAAGGAGTAGAGTTGATCAAAATATATGGAAGAACTTTTCGAAAAATATTTATCATATAGAATTAGACATGCTGTCTAAATGTTTTGATGTGGCGGATAAAGGCACCTAAGTTTAATAATTCTCTCAACCCAAGACCCAAGGTTGCCGAAATTTACATCAAGGAGCCTTCCAAAAAAATCATGTTAGAAATCTGAATGCAAGTTTGTCAAAGTTGAGAGGTGAACTACGTCCACTTCACATATTCTTCATTCCAACTAGTGGGTTGGCTCCATGATGAATTTATGTGATTATTCTTGGAAACGTCAGTTCCAGCTATCAGATATTAAGTTCCAGTTTTCTGCAATTAACTGAAATGGAATGTGCATTCAATCAGTGATGACTAGTTTTGTATTTTGATTGAAATTGAAGTTAAAAAAACCATTTTGAAAGAAGTCAGAAGTGGGTTCGAAATTGAGTATTGGGATTTCATTAGGTTTGGGAACAATCTCCATTCCTTGAAGATAGTCATCTTTTGAAGTTCTAAATTAATTGTAATCAACAACGAAGTAATATCTATATATTTAAAAAACAATCACACATTTTCCGAAATTAAAAAAAAACAAGCTGGGAAAAATTTCAGTAGAATTGGACAACTGTTAGGTAGTCCGCAAACGCCTATACTGAAATTCCATAATTCTCAGAAATGTTACTGCATTAAAACGAAAACATTGTTATCAAAGTTGTGATTCTGTATACGTTTCATCATCATTTTTCCTTATCTGTTTAGTATAATTTTCCTAACCCACTGCAAGAGACAGATTGAGGCAAAAATGTCAGTTATTTTTGAGAATTTAGTGCCTACTATTTTGGAAATATTAATATATAGAATAGAATATGATAAAATATATAAGATGATAAAATATATAGAATCACAACCTGACAACAATGTTTTCTTTTTAATGCAATAATATTTCTGAGAATTTAGTGCCTACTATTATAGAATTTTAGTATAGTAATTAGAACATTAGAATGTAATCATACTAACTAATCATACTGATACTAAATATACATATAAACACGTGCGATCGCTGCTAATCATGAAGTGCCATAGAGCAAGGCGCAGCCTTCGACGCGCTATTTATATGCAAGCGCCGCTGGCTCTCTGGCCGGTACCACCGCAACCGCTTTGTCCATGCATTTTAAATCTATAAAATCTTCGAAAGTATTCATTTTAATTACAGGCTGTAAAGGGCCATATTGATCTATATTAAATGCACAATGTATTCAAGGTACTTAATTGGATGGGGATTAATGCTGTATTGCTTAAAATTGCTTCATAAATAAGTCATTAATAAAAAATGGTTATTGTGGGTTGCCCCTGAGAGATAGACATGACTCATCTCAGACTTTTTTGTAGATCTTTTTATGGTGTACAATACTGCAGTATATTATTTTGATGTATCTTGTAGGGTTCACCCAGTGTTTGCAGTGTAAGAGCAAAAAATGTGTTTATTTACGACATCCCATTAGAAACCTCTAAAATTATCAGTGTTTTTGTACTATATTAAACATGTTATATACATATAAATCTTTCTTTTGAATCACTCTATCTATTAATCATCCTGCATCAAAATCTGTTGCATAGTTTTGAAAATCTAAGCATACATAGGAACAGTAAGCGGGAGGCAACTTTGTTTCATACTATGTATTGATGAAAATCAACATCCTTATTTTATTTTCATTGAGATTGCCACGAGTCACAAACAATTTATCTTCTAGGGGCAAGTTCTGATTTAAAACAGGCTACATCTATTGCAACACATATGGTGAAAGATTGGGGTATGTCCGAGAAACTTGGTCTTCGCACTCTGACTGATAGCTCCAAAAGCCTTGTTCCTGAAGCTTTGGGTCCTTCAACTAGTGAAATTGTATGATTATTCAAGAATAGAAAATAGTTATAAAATTATTGATTCCAATGTTGTAGGTTGATGGTGAGATTCGAAGAATTTTGTCAGAAAGCTATGATAGAGCCAAGCAGATTCTTAAAACACATGCCAAAGAGCACAAGGCTTTAGCGGAGGCATTAATGAAATATGAAACATTAGATGCTGAAGATATAAGAGCCATAATGGCAGAGAAATCTACAGAAAAAAAAGTTTAATGAACTGGAAGTGAAAAGAACATTTGTTGACTTTTTTATTCTTTTTTAATTTTGCGGGAGCAGAGACACCATAGTATTCTAGACAAACTGTAAGTTATGTAAATAATCCTGGTTTTATCAAGAGCGGGCCTTTTGTGACTTAAATTATATTACTTTCAGATTTTGTGTTCAGATTACAATATACCGTTCAGCTGAAACTGTACTAATGCGTTAAATAAATATGTTATTCTAAGATTCAACTGCATTTTTTTCAAGAAAATTATTTGCAAAAAGGCATTTGACACTGTTGATCACATTGTACTGAAAAAAAATAATAACATGAGTATTCAAGGGATTATTTGTAGATGGTTCAAAAATTATTCATCTGGGATGGTTCAGTCTGCGCTGCAATATGGCGTGGTGGATCATCTTGTCACTTTGAAAGGGCATTTGTATCTCAAAAAAGGACAAAAGAACAATGTGCCATGCTCATCCTACTACAAGATGTAAACCTTTATTCAAGAATCTCCAAATACTAACCCTTCCATGTTTGTATATTCTTGAGCTGATTATGCACTTAAAAAAAAAATGAACTTATGAGGAATGAGGACACTCATATGTATAATAGTAGGAATAAAAAAATACTTCGACAACCCTATGCAAGATTATCAGACTGTAAAAATTCACCAGCACGTATTTGTATCAAATGTTTAAAATAAAAGATAACAATAGATGTGAATCTGAATGACAAGCTATTCAAAATTAAAGAGAAATTTCCTTCTTGAAAAAATATTTTGTAATGTTGAAGAATTTTATATTTCCTGATACCTCACTCTTGTCAAACTGCATAATTATTTTGGTTTGTTTTGCAACTACACCTACACTATCTTGACAATTTATTTGTAGATTACCTTTTTTTTTGACTACTCTGATAAGTTTTATACACGTGTGTATGTATGATGCCTTGTATAAACTTTGATTGATAAATAGAAGTTATTCATCAATCAAGAAGTTATTAACTTCTATTATTATTATTATAACAGAAAACGGTATTCAAGAAACACTTTATTGTGAGATTCTCACTAAACAGTTTTACAAAAACGCAACACATGTTTCGCTATACAATAGCTTCCTCAGGCGTGTAAAAACTATTAAATTTCTGAATTCTCATTCCTCCTAAATAATGGCGTCATAGAAATTAACACCTCTTCCAAGTCAGATAAATAAGTGTTTTCTCTGTAAGCTGTCACTTATCCAAGATTAACAATGATTTTTCAATCTTCCAAAATAATGGCGGCATGAAAAATTCTTCATCTGATGTGAAGGGTGTGTATTTTTATGACGTCGTCGTTTTGAGGGACATAAAATTTAGAGATGCATACCTTATATTATTCTATTTCACTTGTGTCTCAATCGGGGACAAGTGACAAGTTACGAAAAAACAAACTATTAATCTAATTAAGCATAAACTAGTTTATGCTTGAGAAAGCTATTGTATAGCGAAATATGTGTCACGGTTTTTGTAAAACCCTGTTTAAATATGGATTTTCATCAAGTATCGGCCAGTTCTATTCAATCAAAATTAATTCGTCGACGATGTTGGCCTCAGTTTCTATTTTACAATTCCTAATCCTAAGTCTTACTTCAGCTTCTCCATAAACCGTCAGCCTATGTTCAAGTGCTGTTTCCAGAACTGGTTAGTAGAGCAGCAAAGCGGAATTTGGGACGTATTACCTGGGGGACGTCGTTACGTTAGTGAGTGGGAAAGAGACTTCTGCGACGTAATCAATGCATAAAAGGATAGAATGAGTATCGGAGAGATTGTGTTGAAAGATAACAGCGTGGTTGAATTATAAAAATAATAGGATAATAATAATAATTAATGAAAAATCGGATTAAAGAGATAACATGGCGACGGGTATTGAGTGGAATACACAGGGTGTGAGCAGCGTTGCATATAGTTAGGCCTCATCGAATTTTATAAGATGACATGGAAATGCCATCAATAACAATTGGTGTTCGTTTCGAGCAGCTATTTCGTACTGCCCCAACTCTATATCGATTTGACTTGGAGTTTCATTGTAATCTTCGCCATCACTTTCATACATTACTTCAACTTCACTACCGTAACAACTATGTGTTTGTTGAACACAAATAATTCTTCACAAAAGGTCCTCCCAATACAATTTCAGTGTGCATGTTTTTTATCTATACAAAATCGACGTTTTCGATCCAACTGTTATGTTTGTTATCCAAACCCAACCATTTAACATACATTTTTTTGCCTTTTTTTCTTAACACTTTTTCCACGAGATATATATCAGGATTCGCAGTTTTTTGTAATTCTTTTCCCATAGAAAGCACCCCTAATAGGTTAACCCTGTTTATCTTCTAGCATATAGATGTCGGGGTTAGTAATGTTGACTTTGATAATTTTGAATAATCCCATAGTTCAATTGGGTGTGTAACCCTTGTCGAAAACGTGTTTTGCCTTACTGATTCGCACAACATCGCCGACCTTAAATTTTCTTGGTTCAATTATTTTCAAATGGATGTATCTTGATTCAAGAATTAGTTTTTCGTTCGTTTCGTTGATTTTTGAAGGTTCTATGTCGCGTATCATTGTAGGATTTTGTGATTTCAGGTAAGACATTCAACCATTTGTAGGTGCCATTCAAAGTGAAATATTCGAAAAGTCTTTCGTCGAACGTCATAATGGTACGTTCGACCATAGAGGCCTTAGTGCTGTACGTATTTTAGTGATTCATTTCATGTTTTTTCATCAAAATTTGAAATTTATTGTCATAAAATTCTATCCCTTGATTAGTTTGTGAATTTTTTGGATGAAATTTCGTATGTTTGAGAATATCTGTAAACGTTTTGGTGATTTCTTCTCCCGTTTTCGATTTCAGCGGTCGAGTCCACATGAATTTTGAAAAACAGTCTATGACGACTGAAACGAGTTTGAAATTTCGGATTTTAGTGAGCGTACGATATCTCAGCCAAGTCCATCTGCCATAAATCATCCAGTCTTTTTATAATGGTATGGCGTCGAGGAACATTTTTTCTAATTGGTTTATGCAGTTCATGGACAGGTTGAATCTTGTCTTTGGAAGCCATAACTGTGCATAATGTTGTGAAACGATTCAATTTATTACATTGGAGAAATGTTTCATCGATTTTTTCTTATTATTGTTGGCGAGCTCAAAATTTTTAACATTCCAACCTAATGTAAGTATTTGCGATTCGACGATCGAAATTCTTTCAACACTATTTTCTCGGTCAAAATATCAGTTTGCTGAATAGATTGCAAAATTTTGGCATTTTTTCGTTAACCAAATTGGTAAGTTCTTTCAATCCCTTCGATAGATAGTTGCCGATACGTTGAATTTTTCATGTAACTTTTGGAACTGTTTCCTAGCATGTTGAATCGTTTGAAAGTGATTGGAATTAACTGTTTGAATAGTCATAATGAAAATGTGACACTTGCAGATATTTTTCTAGTAATATGCGTTTTTTTAATGTGGTTTTCGCAATTTAAATGACCGTTTCAGCGCGTTGGAATTTTTCATGCGATTACCGTGACAGAAATGAACGCCTTATCGCGCTAAATTTTTTATATTTTTCTGGAGCGATTCTCGTGTCAATTCTGCATGAATCGGGCCGCTTCCATTTTTGAGTTCCCTTTATGGAGCCTCAGGCATTCAGGTGGGCTTGTGTTACTTCTAAAAGACGTTTATGAGAGGCGTGATTCTCTTTATTATAGTCTTCAGGTTCAACGAAAGAAAGATTAAATTATATAGTCCAGGAGTTGCTTTGAAAAAGAGTCATTCAATTGTGATATTTCCACGTTTTACTAAGTCAATGTACTTTCTACCGAGAATCCATTTTGAAGAGGACTCGTCATAAACTGGTCCGTATATTTTATCGATTGAATTCTCTTTAGCCTAGTGTTTCCTGACATATTTGTCATGAAACACTAGGGTGGATATTGTTTCAGGTACATCATCATACTCTCCTCTGAAATATGTTCTATTGATGACGATGGTGGTGATTGCGACTCGTGGAATACGTCATCATCGTTATCCTTTCCCGTTTCGAAAACATCTTCAAAAGTGGTAAAAATTGTGTTTCTTCAAATACTCGAGACTGATCGAATGGTTCCTTCTTGACACCATCACGTCTGAAATGGTCTACCGATTTTTTAGAGATTTCAGCTATATCATTCAGTGATCTAGATATAGATTGAAAACACTTCTGAAACGATCCATCCTCTTCAGACTTTCCCAATTTCAGAGCTAGATACTTTTTTCTTATACTTTTTGAAATTTCGTTAATTTTGTTCTTGGCACAACATCTACTTCTTTACTGAGCGGTTTCATATTGACAAATAACGTTTCCATCTCTATTCACACACAAGTATGTATTTGTCGAAGCCTTTTCGATATCGCCCCACATTCAAATCACATTCCTGGACAATGATAAAAGTTCCATACTTGTCGCGCCAACATTCGGCACACATTCTCTTGAATTCATCGAAAGACATGTCGGGAGAGACGTGTTCATCGAATGCATGTTTCAAATTAATTTTGTCTTGGGTATCTGGGAATACGTCTGACACATATAGATGGTATCAATGTCCTTATGTCGCCTCATGGAATAATATTCACTAATTTTCTGCTGACCATCGCAGGCTACATCGTCGAATATGAATATGGAATTTCGTTTAGCTGCCTATTGACCCAGAATTTCTTCGTTGTCTTGAAATGGGAAGTAATCGACAATATCTCTCGAAAGAGCTGATACTTTGGTTGATAGAGAGACTTTATGTACACGTAGATATTTCCAAATTTGGCTCCATTCGGATGAAGTATAATACTGATAATGTTGTGTTATTTTTACACACACTGATGGACCACATATGATGCCACGAAAGGAATTGGACAACAATCCAAATAGTCCAAGTTGTTTATGGGTAATGTATTGTCTTGCGGAACGACCTCCATGTTCGGATAGGTGGTTAGGAGATCCACATTGACGTCATCCATCATTCCTATTGTTGACTTATCACGGAGAAGGTATCGTCAATACGCTTATCAATAAGCTACCATTCGAATTACACTTATCTGGCTATCAGTATTGCGGCCCTGGTAGGAAACTACAAAAACGTGTTGCACGAGGTGATCCTGGTATTAATCCATTATACTCGGCTTGTAAACAGCACGACTTGGCATATTCGCAAGATGCTTCTCTTG